AACGTACGCGAGGAATGTGCGCTCCGATGCAAGATGGTCACGCGCCACGCTGCCGGAGTTCACTAGGGATAGAGATACGTCGGAGTTATCTGGGTCGGAGTATGAGTTGTGGTCTGATGGTGCTGCTGCCGCTTTGGATCCTAGAACGGCGGTCGTTAGACCTTGCTGGGACTTGTTGGATTGATCAAGTCCTGGAAATCTGTGGTAAGATAAGATCCAAAAGGATTCGACGTGATCCACGTACTCGTACGCTCCGAAGACGTTTCCTGCGCATCTTCCCTTGTGTCAGCGTGCCCGTTTGCCCCTTTTATGAGCGGTGTTCTTTTCGGAAAGGGTTCTGTCACGCTGGCCTTGTTAGTTTTCGTCGAATGATTCAAAGTTTCGTGGTCGCTGTCAGAGGCGAGCTGGCAGGTGGGTGGCTGTCTATGCGACATATATTGAGGTAGACGCAGTTTAATGTCCTCGAAGACGCCTGCAGCATTTCTCTCGAGGATATGTCTGGCGCAACAAGGAGGACGAGTATTTTGATCCGAAATGTACACGTGACTTGTATAGTGGACGCGACGCGTTCTGACGCGTCTCTGTCACAGAATCCATGAGAGGCCAAAGCACAAGGTTCCGACTGCAAGCTATATGTGTGGAAACGAAAGGTACACGATAACACGCAGACAAGCTGCAGAGGGCTCGTATACAGTGACTCAAGTGCAGCAGCGGTTGTGGACTAGACTTCTTGCCCATATCAGGACGCTAATTCCAAAGAGAAATAGATATACGTCTCTCATTATGTTATGGTAACACAGCTACGTCACTTGTGCTGGTATTACTTCCTAGTTCCGAGGCTTAAGGCCTGGGACTCGAGCGTAAATCTCTCCGACAATCTGTGGACTGCTGGACCATACGACCACGCGCGCGTTTTACTTGGCCGATGCTTTGTCTTGCACTACAGATTGTTTGTCTTTGTGAGGTGTAAGGGATTTCAGGGCCGTGTGGCGAAATGGCATCGCGTCTGACTACGATAAGGTAATCAGGAGATTGCAGGTTCGACCCCTGTCTCGGTCATTCGGGATCTGGAAAGGATCGTATCGTTTTTGGAAGCGGGAGCGAGGCTACGTGTCGTGCGTAGCCGGCTCACCCCAGCGTGCAAACAGATGTCTGTCACCACATCACATCGTTGAGACATGCCTTGCGCCTATTGTGGCGTCAGCGAGCGCGGCTGATATGTAGAAATACTCTCTTCCATCGACGTGCTATGATACTGAACAGAATTCTTACCTGGAATTCATGGCCGTGTGGCGAAATGGCATCGCGTCTGACTACGACGATGTAATCAGGAGATTGCAGGTTCGACCCCTGTCTCGGTCATGAAGACCTGCTTCATCCAATTTGATGTATCGTTTTTTCGACTCCTCAATTCTGAGTGATACCCCAAGTAATCTAACAGGCAGAATGTGTATACAGTGAAAATCACTCAAGACAGGCCTTTTGGCATGTTAATGGAATTTGTAGTCCTATCTCCTCCCCTCAAAATGCCTTGCTTTCATTCAAACTCTTATTATTATACTCCCTTATTTGCTGTCGACCCAGTTCAATTTCCATCTTTTTGTTACAGACTAAAATATAGACATCTCATTTATCCTTAATATATGATGAGTAATGCAGTCCTATCAAGAGCCTTGCCACATTGTACTTTTTGAACAGCATTCGATGCCGTACTACACAGGTTTTTTCAGGCCATAATTCAGATGGGAACAATACTTTCCAAATACAAACTAAGCTTGTTTTGTATTCAACTGCCATTCACATCGTCCCGAAAGGTGAAACCAAGTCCTTAAATAAAATGCAGATCAGGAAGGTATAACAGTAGGACTGTCAACCGTCAGGCTAGAATCAAGCGTTTGAGCTTTTGCTCGCTGTAATTGTGTTAATGCTTCGGCATTCTGAACCCGACGACCGTGGCACTTTACTTTTTTTTGTGAGCGAAAAGGCGAATTTTCGGAAAATTCATTCTTACTTTCGAAATGTTCAAAAATTCCTATACAACCAAAATTGGGAGTTGGGAGTCTCCAGAGGTAGGTCGGGTTTATCCGTCCGAACTGTCCCAATGATCAAGTTGGATGCTAATGACCTCAGTCCCAGCTTCGAGATGGAACTTCCTCGAGATTCAATCTGTCTGTTAATAGTCCAAGTTCCGTGAGAGGCCATGATGATCCTCGGGCGGCACTCGAAAGTGGCATATTTGTTCAAACCATCTCAGATGCTGAGGAAATCAGGCCGCCAACAGCGGAAAGTCCTCATTCAGTTTGGAGCCATGTATGTAATT